AGAAATCAGGTAATTTGTTTTCACCAGCATGTTAAAAATTAACAAAAAGTGCCTTTACGTAGGAGGGCTTCCATACACCGCACTCTCTTTCATGGCTTCAATACAACTCACTCTGATTCATGGCTTCCATACATCTCACTCTCTTTCATAAACTATATCGATTTATAACTTTTATTTTATATCAACTATTTGTTTTTGATTTTATATGAAGCCTACCTATGTTTTTTTATCCTCTCTTCGCTCACCTTTTTTCATTTTTATTATCAAGGAGTTGATTTTCACTTTTTGGCCCCTAGTATTAATGATGTAGAAGGGCGAAACAGCTGTTTGTTGCAGTGTAGTTCATTTATGTCATATTGTATCCATACCCACTTTTTAAAGATTGTTTCGGTGCAAACATACATGTGTGTCTAACGTTCGTTCGTCTTTAAACGCATACATTGTGAATTCCTTGCGAAGACATAATATAAAAAATGTTATTCAAAAATTTCTCGGTGTGGAAGAGCATCATTCCTTTGATTACTGTTGGTTAATTTGTGCAATAAGGAGGCTGGTCTGCTGGTGGACCATCTGTCCCCGAGGCTGGCCGTTTGAAACTCGAACTTATTCTGGCAGTGTTAGCATGAAGTAGTAGTTAAAGTATAAAGTATCTGTTGTAACCAGAATTTGTTAATTCAGTAAAATGTTTACTTAAGCTTTTGCATTCATTTGTTTGTATTACTAGTAATTATTTGTAACCTATGTTAAATGATATATTGCATTATATAAAGATAAAGAATAAGGCTTATATCTGCATTGCCTGTTGCTGAATTCCTTTTGTAGTTTGAAATCAAAGTCATTTTTTCAATATGCGTGCCACTTTACAAACACAAGTGACATAGGAATGTCACCTGTAAGCTCGCTCTCTACATGGGGGTTTGTTGATTAAGGATCTGAACGATTTAGATACCGTACAGGTACAATTTTTTTATGTACTAAAGTAGAAACGGTGGAATGGGTTCACCTTGCCCGGGCACGCGAGTTTTCCGCGGGGTCTTTTTATTCCACCCTCAATTTCGACCTCTTGTGTGCGTCTTTTTCGGCTTTCCAGAAGATCGGAATATATGATATACACCCAGGTAAATATAAGTTCTACAAAACCAGACACTATTATATATCAATTGCTAATTGATATGGCTATTCATTCTATAACGCAAGAAAACATGAAGTACTCCTCGGTAAATGTAAATTCTATAACACCACACTATGATGTATCGAAATTAAAGTATTAGTTCTTCAACACCAGACCTTATAATGCACATTACAATGGTAACCAAAAAAACAACAGCTTGTATTGTTCGACCAATACAATATATTAGAATTTGTATAATAATTTCCTTCAATCGGATAAACACATAATAGCTGAGTTAATTAGTGTACTTACAAATTGCAATCAATACACATCCAATAAGTAAATTCTGGCACAAACTCATTATGGTACAGCAGGAAGGGAAATTGTCGTTTCAACTAAAGTGAGTCAGATATACGTACCACTTTTTGAATAAATGTAGGTGTTCGCGACCTAATAAAGAAAAGCTTGATGAATGTGTTATTTGATAGCTCAATCTTAACCAGAAAGTTAAGTGTGATTAGTTATCTAAAGTATTTTTCACTTATCACACAACGGTTTGACATTATTAACCTTTGAACTTGAGTTTGTTTAAATTGACATTAAATCAACTTTGTAAATCCATGTTGATTACTTAAAATTTCGATTAAATAACTAGAAATTTCGAGATAATTTCACGAAATTTTGAGTTTGTAAGTCGCAGTTTTGAGTAACACATTATTTACAATGCATGGTTAGTATAATGAATCTTGCCAAGTCCTCCAATTTCACATTCAGATATATTGACGATTTCTTTGAATAACAAGAAATTAATTGACCACATCGATCGTATATGAATTGTACCCTCCAGCGCTTGAAATCAATGACACCACAGTTGCTTCAAGTTCAGCCGCTTTTCTCGATCTTTACTTACAGCATAACCAACAAGGACGTCCAGCGGGACAATTTCAATATTCTGATCGTGAACTTTTCCTTTCTGGATAGCAACATTCCTGCTTGCCTAGTTTTTTGATGATTACATTTAAGCAGTTGATTCAGTACTGAAGAACTTATCAATATCATTAAATCCGTGATTCGACTACTGGTATATAACCTGACAACACTGGATTTCTAAATATCAGGCTGCGGAAGACTATGGATACGTTTTTATGGTCGCCATCAGGATCCTCCAAGAGCATATGCATTTTTTGAGTGATATGAAGGTCGGCGGTTTTGATTATGCTCATTAAATATCCCTGTGAATTTGTTTTACTATCGATGTGAGGACGTGACATTATTGTGATTAATCTTAGATGTACATGGCGCGGTTAAACCTAAGACGCTTTTCCTTGCGGTCTACTTGTACACTTTTCCTTTGTTCATATTATGTCCAAAATTTATCGATTTTGAGTTAGATTTTTTATTTTTTTTCACACTTCGGTATTTTTGTTGTTGTTTTTATATTTATTATAAATATAGCTTTTAAAATTTAAAATTGTTATTACGTTTCTGATGTATAATTCCATTTGTTCCAATTACAATTCATAATTTGCCCGTGTGTCCTGTAGTAGTAGTTAAATGTTCTGGGAGTTTGTGGTATGATTATTTGTTCGCACATGTATGATTGAGTTAAAAGTCCTGTGTTTTAATAGTTTGTGTGTAAGGATTACTGGCCTAGACAATTGTATCTTTAGGAGAACGCTTTGTGTTCGTAAGTAAAATTGCGATGTGTGAGAAAAGTATGATACGTCAAGTTAAAGATAAATGGTTGGATTGTCCTCTTGCTAATGGAAAATTACCTCTGCAGGTGTCAATATTGTGGCGGTAGACGTACGTGTGCTCATTCCCATGTGTTGGGATCACGCTTTGATCTTATTATCGTCCCTCGAAAGAATCACTCATCCTTCGAATTCGAGGATTTGTTTTAATCTTTTAGGATCTTAAGGACGTAAATAGAGCGTTTATAAAAATAATAGAGTAAGTGACTGAGGGTCTGGCCCTTGTGGCTCATAGGCTGGTTACAGTCAACTAGTGGTTAGGAAGTTAAAAAAAATGAACACAACAAATCTCAAGAACATCTAATTTTCATTTTCTTTATAGATTTGGTGAGACAGATCAGATGGATGTGTTTTAAGGATTTTGCTTTGCTTTTAAAGTCGTTTTGACGAATATTTGTATTTTTCTTTAACCACGTGATAAGTTAACCAAACTTTGAGGACCCGGAGTCTGGTGTCTGTAAATGTAGTTACTGGATAAGTTAACCAAACTTGGAGGACCCGGGGACTGGTGTCTGTAAGTGTAGATACGTCACCTTTGACTATTGTTAAGAAACATTGATTAGAAACATTTATTCGTGTTGTTAATTCATTAAACTAGAAAGGGTCCTTTACATATCACTATTTGTTTAATGTTTAGAGAAAACCTACGAAACTACCAGCTACGGTGTTACGAGTGACTGTCCTGCTTCAATACCTTGGCACATGTATTAGATATATGTCTTTAACATGAAGGAAGTTGTTGACGAAATGACAACGTTGTTCTGGAAAGCGTTAACAAAACTGTCACGAGAACGTAATTTATTGCTATTAACTTATATTAGTTTGACAGTTTAGTTCAATTAAAAAAAATACCAAAAATGCCAATGCTATCACAATCAAAAGAACAAGTACTTATCTGGATGTTAGACATTAATGCGTAATTATAGAAATATTGGGTGGTCGGGTGGTGCAGTTGATAGCGCACTTGCCTTTCACCAAGGCGACCGGGGTTCGATACCCCGATCGGACGTGAAAAGGTTGGAGTCATCTGCCCGACTACGTGGGTTTTCTCCGGGTATGCCGTTTTCCTTCCACACTAAGACCCCCCACGTGCTAACATCAGGGCCAACAAGGGTGATTATATACGTTGAAATAACTTGTTTCATAATTGTGGTAAAATAAATAAAGTTTATATTATAACTATAGAAATATTGCCGATAGCATAAATCCCAAAGGTTTTGTTCATTAACATTGAACACATTTTTTTAACGTTTGTTGTGTTGGTTTTCATCGAAAATACATTACCTTGTTACTTATAACTCAGGGATATAATACAGTTGGTCAAATACATGATTGTCTAATACTTAGTCCTTATTATACTATTCTTGTTGTTATCTGACTATGATGTCACCTCTATCTCCTTTGACTGACTGACATACGTCCTATAAATGTTGTTTTAACAAAATATAAGTATGAAATTGATGCACAACTGTACTGTTTCTTTGATTTAAAGGGGGAAAATACGATGTCTAAGTGCCATCGAGTCTTAATTTTGTTTTGTACTAATATGTTACTAACTGTTTACTTCGAGGGGTGTCTGTAACATGTTTGGGGACATGCTGATAACTTGGAGGGGTGTCTGTGACATGTTTGGGGACATGCTGATAACTTCGAGGGGTGTCTGTGACATGTTTGGGGACATGCTGATAACTTCGAGGGGTGTCTATAACATGTTTGGGGACATGCTGATAACTTCGAGGGGTGTCTGTGACATGTTTGGGGACATGCTGATAACTTCGAGGGGTGTCTGTGACATGTTTGGGGACATGCTGATAACTTCGAGGGGTGTCTGTAACATGTTTGGGGACATGCTGATCACTTGGAGGGGTGTCTGTGACATGTTTGGGGACATGCTGATAACCTCGAGGGGTGTCTGTGACATGTTTGGGGACAGGCTGATAACTTCGAAGGGTAGCTGTAACATGTTGCTGGAGACGTGCCGGTCTCATGTTTATTACTAGCCTTTCTCTCAGTGATATAATTAATTCCGAATTATGTAGATATCCAACACTCACAGTCAGTGAAAAAGTCCTGACAAACATCAGACGCTCATGGTTTTCAACTCTAACATATAATTCCAAAGTATTCATGTGCATGCATTTAATATATACTCCATAATCAGATCAGTCACAGTACACACTACACATTATAGTCATTTGTATCTGAAATTCTTATTTTAGTTTACATTAATTCAATGATGAATGGATGGTTTCGCAGTATCTTGATTTTTTCTATTCTAACCTGATGGACAAGCAAACGAGATAATATTATTGATATATCAGTTAAACATTGTATGATTTAGTTCATTTTCTATTGGGTATAAAAAGCGCTCTATAAAATCACGGTGACATTATTACTGTTCCAAACTTGCTATTGCAACAAAACTGTTCTTTCTCATACTGCGGAAGGTAATACAGAGGTTATTCCGGCAGATGTCGTTTATCGAGGTACAGCGGGATTGCTCATACCTTTAAAAGACAGAAAAAATCACCATTAAGTATTTAAAGCGGTATTCTATACTATTTTTTGTATTTGTTGATATTTAAACATTGAGGAATAGTGAAATGCAGTATGTAGAGCAAATCTGTACATGTATACACTATTACATTTTTAAATATAATAAAAAGGCTCTTTATGTTATAAATAACTAATTTTGAGTGGATTTCGAAGCAAATTAAATATATATCGTTTGACGTAAATAGTGAATCATTTTGCATGCAAAAAGCATCCTGTTTAAGCAACTCATTCTGATATAACACATCTGACTGCAAAAGCTTGAGAAGTAAATTTCTACGTACAAAATGTATAATATACTCAATATAGAAGTACAATATACAAAAATGTAGTAGGACAAATACTTAATAGTAAAGGTAATACACACACAGTAGTATACGCAATGCACACACAGTAATATATGTATATATATACTACGTAATACACAAACAGTAGTATACGTTAAACACAAACAGCAGTATACGTAGCACACAAACAGTAGTATACGTAATACACAAACAACAGTATACGTAATACGCAATCAGCAGTATACGTAGCATACAAACAGTAGTATAGGTAGTACACAAACAGATGTATACGTGATACACAAACAGCAGTATACGCAATACACAAACAGCAGTATACGTAACGCAAAAATAGCAGTAAACGTAATACACAAACAGTATTATACGTAACACACAAGCAGCAGTAAACGTAATACACAAACAGCAGTATACGTAACACACAAACAGCAGTAAACGTAATACACAAACAGTAGTATACGTAACACACAAACAGCATTAAACGTAACACACAAACAGCGGTATACGTAACACACAAACAGTAGTATACGTAACACATAAACAGTTGTATACGTAATACACAAACAGCAGTATACGTAACACACAAACAGCAGTATACGTAATACACAAACAGCAGTAAACGTAACACACAAACAGCAGTAAATGTAATACACAAACAGCAGTATACGTAATACGCAAACAGCAGTATACGTAACATACAAACAGTAGTATACGTAACACACAAACAGCAGTAAACGTAATACACAAATAGTAGTTTACGTAATATTCAAACTTGCAATAGGGTTATATTTTAACAGTCGTTATTTAGCTTATTGTATGAGTTCAAAATCACTACTTTTTGAATCAGACAATTACCTTGAGAGTTACCTGAATGTTTAACAACTTGTACCGTTTGAGGTTGCACGCTAGACGTGTCGCATTTGTCACAGCAATACGGAATTATAACGCTCAGGATTCCAATCAGTAAACCGAATCCTATTATAGATCCAATCACTATTCCTGCGATTGCGCCTCCGGATCTGAAAGTGTCGATATTTTCGGAATAAGAATAATCAATTTGGTATGAATAATAAAGGCTAATTTTGTTTTGAACACAAACAGGAATTGTGGGCTTTCGAAACGTCTATTTCCTTTGTCAAGCAAAGAGTGTAAATAAGCGGTGTCTCGACTTTAAACGGATGAAAACAAGTCACTCAGCCACAGTCGGCGGAATCAGTAAAGTTAGCTGTCAAAAAGTATAGAGACATTTCGCTCAATTGCACTCTAATACTACAGGCAGTCCCTCGAATTCCTGTTTGTGTTTCAAAACAAACTTAGCCTTTAGTGTCGATGTTTGTATAAGTATAAGTCCTCTTAATTTGTAATATATATATATGATAACGAAAGAGACATTGCTTGTGTATTATATAATTTTAGAATTAATATAATGTTCTAACGAAAATAATAACTGAGTTGATAACATAATAAACTTTTAACCCCGCATCCTGGAGTCGAGGTAACGTATATGATACATACAACAGTTACATATATCAGATATAACAATGAGCAATTGAATCCTAATGATAATGATAAAAAAATCGTCCAGACACAAGAATAGTATTTTAACTAATGTAATAAGAAATTCACCTTGAATCGATTAAAATGCTTTCTTTTATCTACATAATAGTGTTGAGAATGTTTGCTTAACCGGTATTGCAATATAACAATATTTTATAGTATGTCTCGTTATAATATTTCACATCATTTCTCGTTATAATATTTACTATCATAAACTGTAATTCGTTATAATGTCATATCTCGTTATAATATTCAATAAAATATTTCGTTATAATATCATATCTCGTAATATTATCTAATGTCATATTTCGTACAAATTTATATTATAAATCATGACTACGTCACTAAGAGTTCGACTACAATTTGTAAAATATTGTTATTGTTACATTTTAATCTAATTTGCATTGACCGATAACATGCAGATTTGAAAGACTTAACCGTAATGAGTAAAATTAAACAATAATAATATCTTATCGATTTTGTAAATATGAATATTAAAAGTATCCTTTCAAATATTACCTCCTTCTAAATGATACTTAGGCAAAACATATTTTGTCAACCGGTTTATATATACCGTATGAACCAATCGCTTTCCGTTTGATGTTGAGTATTTTATGAAGTGTGCTAATCTTGATAATCTATTGTTTTGTAGCTTTGTACAGAAACAATTTGACTGGATATTACAGGAGTTTCAAAATAAAACTGAAACCTAGAAATTATCTTATAAATCAAGTAGCGTTTTCTTTGTTATACGAACGTTAATTATAACAGCTATAGATGATTTGGTATGCATACTTACAGCGAACCGCTTGCAGCGGCACTAGCACCACGAATAACGCTCCCCCAACCCATGTCAGCTCACACCACGCTCCCTACAGACTGTGACAATCATAGAGTGAATGCATAAAACATTACTCAGAGATCGGCGTCTGTCGTGATGGATGGCCCACGTGACTCTCAGTGATAAGAATGGTGACGAGAAAGTCAAGGTTGAAGTTACTACCGGGTTTTATTAAACTCCAAACTATCACGCATGTATAACGCAGCATAACACTCTTTTGTTTCAAATCAAATCGACGGGAAAAAGAATTTTAATTAGAACTTGCCAGTATGCAGTGTAAAACGAGCAAAACAGTTTCTTTTTAACCTCTTGAATTACTTAAAATGTGCAAAGCTCACAATCAGAACGATTCATCGACCTAATCCTGATTATGTATTAAATTAGTTTTTGCAAATCGTTCCAGGGTTCATTTTGTATGTTGACGGTACTTTACATTTTCGAGTTGAAAAACCAAATTGCGACTGAAAATGAAGCTTGTGGATTTCAGGCGAAATATTGAAGACAGTGCCTTTCAACAAGGCAGGATGTGCAAAGCTGCTGAACATACAAAAACTCACGCTCAGGCAGCGGACATGATGAATCTTCTCAGGTTTTTATCGATTCTCGTATATTTAAATGAATTATAGATACAAATTATGAGACATATATAATTATCTATGAATAGAACAAGTACATATTCCTACAGCGTCAGAAATGGTGAAAACGAGCAGCTTGGTTTGCACCATATAGTAGAAGGTCTTTGACATACAAATATGTACGTACACATTTTGTGTAGTCTGTAACATGATAACCTCTCCTATCTACCTGGTATCGGAATACAATCAATCTATGTACAAGGTGGCTCTATTTATGTGGGTAGACTTTATTTTAATGGACCGTACTAAAATGGACGGCAGAGGATGATAAAAGTACCTTCAAATTGATGCAGGTCTTGATATCGTTCAGGAAACTAGTTCAACACTTAAAGGATCTGGAACTCTGAACAGTGTCTATCATTGACATAATTGTCCCAAATCGAAATTTACATCTCTGATAAAACTATCCAAGATACTGTGAAGATGTATCAGCTTCCTCTTCCCTAAAAATATCAGTACAAACACTGGATCACATGTGGGTAAAATAGATCTACATATTCATAAACGTAAAATAAAATCTCATATAAATGCATACGAACATAAACAGAATTCATTTGAAACATATCATGCTTTTGCCTTGCTTAAGTCCCAGAAGTAATAATAACAGTAGTATTGTATAAATTTACCGATATTGTGTTCATTTGAGATTCAACATTCTCGTAACAGAAAAGGTAAATTGAAAAAAACCGCATAGAGAACAAATATTGAGTAGGAAAGAAAAAAAGATTTAATGGGACGTATTTCCCTTCCCACATTATCTTTTTTTTTCAATAATAGGCAGTGGGAAACAGCAAGTCTTACATGTATCAGCTTGGCGTATCTAAAAATGGTGATTGCACGATTTGTTTATGTTTTTGATGTGTACTTATGTTGATAATTAAGGGGGAAAATGGAGGCCCCTAATGTACCCCCTCATATTTCGAAATAGTCTTGGAGCTGACCTTAATGTCTAATTTCAGGTTATATCCTGACGGCATACTCTCAAGGTATATATATGGAAAAGATAAAATGTATATGTACATGTATCTGTGATAGCCACCCGGAGGCCCATATTGGAATCCCTTCTTTGAGGGTTTGTCTTTTCCTTGAGGTACTGTGTATAACTTTGCAGAACTAAGCACCACACCATGCATCTGTTTCGACTATCTAGGACCCATCGCCGAGGTCTGGGACCAAAAAAGAAAATCACATTAGGTCTAAACTACTGTTGGAACACAAGAGGAGGTGCGGTAAACTATTACTTACATAGATTTCAGAAACATTTTGAGGTACTGGACTAAAAACTCCGATAGAAGTCAGGAGGTTTGGAGCGGAGAGAGATAGCCCGAGCGTGTAGTTTCGTAAACTGTCGTAAATATGTAATAATCTGATATAGAAATAAATACAAAGATTGTAATACATTAAGTTATGTTGTTACTTACTTCAACTGGCCTTGCTTTATAAAAATAATGATATTTTAATGTGAGGTGAAAAAAGCTACGAAGCTATCAAGTGTTGTGTACAGAGTGACAGAGATGTTTAAATACCTAGATACATGTAGTAGGTATATGATCTTATCATTAAAGAAGTTGACGGATAAATTGCTGTGTGGGTCGACTAATCGATAACATCATTAATAAGATAAGAAAGCAGTTTGTTGAAATGTGGGTGAATATATTCAATGACGTGTGCAGATTCATTTACTTAGAAACATCAAATACATAAGCATTGTCAATAGGACTAGTACGAATCCAGAATTAAGAAAGAACTAAGCACCACCACACCATGCATCAGTTTCGACTATCAAGGACCCATCGCCGATGCATGGGACCAAAACATGGAAATCGCATTAGGTCTAAACTACTGTTGGGACACAGGGGGGGTTACTGGACTAAAAACTCCAACAGGAGTCAGACGGTTTGGAGCGGAGAGAGATAGCCCGAGCGTGTAGTTTCGTAAACTGTCGTAAATATGTAATAATCTGATATAGAAGTAAATATAAAGATTGTAAGACATCAAAATATTAGCCACACTCGTGAATATATTTGTTATTAATGAAGACACCATTGAATATCCTCTATATATGATGTAAGTATCTCGTATTCTACGAAATTTTCATTTTCGCGTTAATTAGCAGTTATGTTGTTACAATGAACTTACTTCAACTGGCCGTGCTATATAAAAATAAAGATATTTTAATGTGAAGAGAAAAAAGCTACGAAGCTATCAAGGGTTGTGTACAGAGTGACAGAGATGTTTCAATACCTAGATACATGAAATAGGTATTTGATCTTATCATTGAGGAAGTTGACGGATAAATCGCTGTGTGGGTCGACTAGTCGATAACACCATTTTTATAAGAAAGCAATTTGTTGATATGCCGTTGAATAATTCAATGACGTTTGCAGATTCATTTATTTAGAAACAGCAAATACACCAGCATTGCCAACAGAACAGTACGAATCCAGAAGTAAGACGTTTGAACGTAACTAACGACTTTTTCTTGATATAGATTAACCCCGGGTGGTTCATTTATTACTAAACCTACTTGATTAACTTATGTTACATTTACTCCATGGAAAAAACAACTCATTTAACGTCAGCGAGTTTTGAAGAAGAAAAAAAGTCGTTATAATTTAGGGATATCAAATCAGAAATATTTTTAAATCTTTCCTTTTTTATCCTTTTACATCTGATACCATTTCTCAGCTATTCAATGTCATGTGGTGAACATTAAGTAAGACCACCGTCGCTCTGACCAACTGAGTTTCCTGGTCAACGAAAGTACTTTAACCATATTGTGTTTCAGTATCAAAAAACTAAATAAAGAGAAGGTTACTGTGTATACGAATAACTAAAATGTGATACTCCAGTGTTTACTGCAGTGGGACTGAGATCATGAAGATATAAAGACGTTTAATGGCATTTATAAAGGACCAGCTCAATGGATATTTGAACATATTAAGATACATACGAAAGAATTGATATTCTCTCATAATAACTGTACAATGAACCTAAAACAAATTAAACATGAACAGTTACAATGTATCGATAAATTGGCTTACACTGACAACTTGTAATAAGGTATTGCCAAATTTGTTTAATGAGGAAATAATGGGAATCTTCCAATCATTTACTGCAGTTCTGGATACAAAAATGGTGACATTGAATCGATGTATTTCCTTTATCTCATAGTCATTTTTGTAATTACTTATTCAGGAGGACCAATATTTAGCGTATGCTATGTTCATCTATAATATCAGGAAGTTAGGAGGAAATGTTGTTTAGGAATCAATTTTCTTTCTAAAGACAACAGTGTTTTTTTTAATTTTTAGAACTCTATTAATTAAGCGGTTTAACGCACCTACAGTTCTGTTCCAAAGAAGTTTAAGACCAATTTGTATTTCCAACCTTTTGGTCCTTAGCGATGAGTCCTACAGGGAGGGAAAAGCGTTATGATGCTGTGTTATTCAATTTTGGCCTACTGTGTTCGTGATACGTTCATCTTCCAAAGTGTAAGGAGGTTGACTATGCTGATGGATTTCTTTGATTTGCTGTAACCTTGATAACCACAATTATTATTGTTCAAATAATGGCACGGTCAAAACAATACATTACTTATCATTTATTTGAAAATATGGAGTCACCATTCCACTTCAAACGACTAATATATACCTTTGACTTAAACAATATTTATTTCATTCAGCGTATATAATAAGTAAACAGATTAATAGGAATATTATTAGGATCTGGCAACAAGATTTTAAATCGTATATACAGCCATCTCCCTTGAAATGATATTACATTAAAGAAGTACTTCAACATACAGTTAATTAATACACATAATTTATGTGATGAACCAAAAATAGAAAAAGCATATGAAGGTATGAAAGAAGAAAAGTCTTTGTATTTATAGAATTAAGATATAGAATTTTCATTTGAAATGAACAAAACTTAAAAACTGTGATATTGTCTAACAATCTGATACACTTTCACATCTCTAACATCATTCAATATCTCTTACCTTTCTTCCACGAAAGACGTTTTGCCCTATTCGTAAGCAAGGGTTCTGTCACGCTTGACACTTAGAATACTGTTCCTATGATACACGTATCTTGATTTAGTGGTCAGATACATTCTCCCTATATTGTTGTAGGTTTTATGTAATATATTCCAATATTTGTGATTTTTGCATATATAAAGATGTTTTGTTTAACTGTAATTGAATACATGTTATATTGTGTTTTGTATGTATGATATAATACTATATTTATTTGTTACATGCGATACACAATATTGTTGATTATAGTTGTAACTGTGTGTTATAGAACATAAACCTCTAGAGTGAATTGTTTTAATATCTGTAATATCTTAAGTTGTACTCGTTGTCTCTATAAAACCTATAATATTAGAAGCCATCATTTAACCAGACCTTTACGATAATATAAA